CTGCTGTAGAAAAATAAAACCCGAGCTTACACAACACGGGTAGGTGATTTCGAGTTTTTTTGACCAAGGCTTATGAATTTAGAGCCGTACGATGTAAATCTAACGGATGGGAACTATTTTTGTTTGATTCCGTACGTTTTTTCTTTAATAACAGAACAATCATAGCAAATTAAAGGAGAAGATATAATAAAATCTTTTAAAAGAAATCATAATCTAGACACATTAATAAAAAAATAAAGATGATACTGGATTTATTTTTTAAGTTATAAAGTATAGAATACAATGATTTTGATTTTTAAAAGGAAACCTGACTAGTATCATTAGGTATTTATTTTATTTTTGAACAACAAGAAAAATATCATAAATGATAATGCCACTAATAGAAAAACTTGTAATTAAATCAAGAAAAAACATATTTGATTAAATTAAAAATACTTTTGTTATTGACTTATTGTGACATATGTCGTTCCGTAATCTAACCAAAAATCATTTTATATATTTTAATAATAAAATCTGTTTATATTTTATTTGGAAAACAAAAAAAAAAAAGATTTTCCGAAAATAAGACCAATTCTATAGTTGGGCCAAAATAGATTAGTTTCACTAATGAGGCCAACTTTTAAAAGCCCAGAACGAAAGAAATTGTGGGATTTTTATAGAAAAATTTACCTAGAATAATCTTTTTTTTTTTTAAAATAGCTAGAATAACATTACCATTTTTTTATTGCTGAAATAATCTATTATGAAATTTTTTATTTCATAATACCAAAATTGTCTTTGGCAGACTCTGCTGAGATATTGGCAGACTCTGCCAATGTTTTGGCAGAGTCTGCGTATTTCTAGATATTAGCAGAGTCTGCCAATACATCTGTAGAGTCTACCAATATTTCCGCAGAGTCTTTCAATGATTCGGCAGAGTCTGCCAATACCTCGGCGGAATCTGCCAATGTTTCGGCAGAGTCTGCCAATATTCGGCAGAGTCTGCTAATGTTCGGCAGAGTCTGCGTATTTTTAGATATTGGCAGAGTCTGCCAATACTTCGGCAGAGTCTGCGAAGGACAATTTTGGTATTATGAAAAAAAAAATCTCGAATAGGTTATTTCAGCAATAAAAAAATAGTAAGGTTATTCTAGCTATTTAAAAAAAAAAAATAGGTTATTCTAGCTAATCTTTTGTATAAAGAATCAATCGACGGAATTTTTCTCCATATATCCCTTGATCGTGTGACCTAGAAGCCTGGAAAAACCGATTAAAGTTTTTGAACTTTTGGATTTTTTTTTCTGAAACTTTGAAGATTGACTAAGATGTTGAATCTTCCAGAGGATTTGATATTAGAGATACTCTCTAGGGTTCCATTGACATCTCTAAAGGCAATGCGATTAACTTGCAAAACATGGAACGATTTAACCAAAAATCAGATTTTTTGTAAATCCGCAGCAGCAAGGACGCAGTTTCTAGGGTTGATGACGATTGGTCCTAGGTTTTTTCAATGGATTTGGATCTCCAAAGAAACCACGAGGACGGTGACTTGGTCAATCCGTCTCTAAAGCAAGTAAGTAAACTTGATCAAATCGAAATATCTAGTGTCTTCCACTGCGACGGTTTATTGTTATGTGTCACCAAAGATGATACGAGAAAGCTCGTGGTATGGAATCCGTATTTAGGGCAAACGAAGTGGATCCAACCCTTAGACAATTTCAAAACATCTGACATGTTTGCTCTCGGATACGACAACAACAACAGATGTAACCACAAAATCTTGAGGTTATTTGACTACGAATACAGAAAAAGCTATAGAAGATTCGAAATGTATATGATTTAAACTAACTCATGGAGGGTTCTTGATGTCAGTTCTAATTGGGATATATATCAAAGCGGCGTGTCTTTGAAAGGAAATACTTACTTTGTTGCCCGAAAGGAAACACAAACAGATTGTTTACTCTGTTTTGACTTTACATTAGAGAGATTTGGACTAAGTGTGTCTTTGACGTTTGACTCTTACTCTCAATTTCCAGGCTTTAGGACTGTGATATCTTGTGTTAGACTTAGAGATGAGCAGCTCGTTATGTTATATCAACAGACTGATGATCTATATCAACCCTACCAGGCATGTGGCATGATGGAGATTTGAATTACGACTAAAATTGAGCCCGATGTTGTATCTTGGAGCAAGTTTTTGAAACTGGATATCACACGGCTCAATCGTTTCCCGCATCTCTTTGTGGAGTACTTTGAAGCTGGGAGCTTCTTCATTGACGAAGAGAAGAAAATGGTTGTGGTTTCTGGCAAACCCGGATATTATGATAAACATTTCTGTCAATGCCCAAAAGTTTGCATCATTAGAGAAGATGGATACTTCAAATCTATGAATCTCAGAGATGCAGACCTGCATCTCGAGAAACCTCTCATGTATCCTGCGTATGAATGTACTAACCACCTTTTGTTCTCTTCTTATGTTCCAAGTTTAGTGCAACTAACTGCAACAACCAGACAACAAGGAAGAAGGAGAAGATTACAAACTAGTTTCATTTACGATAATTTATTTGTTTCTTCTTGCCTCAACTCCTCTTTTTGTTTCATTCAGATACTTTCATGTTCTTTTGAATGAATAATCAATTATGAATTTGTTTTTGCTATTTACCATTTAATATAGAATTCAGCCTTTGCATGTTTTAGCTTCTTTTTCAT